GGGACACAGCTTCGGACCATAGGTCCCGGATCACCCCGGTCGGAAAATCTTCGAGAAAGGCCTTCGCCCTTCCCGAGGACTTTCCCTTACCAATTTCGAGGACTTTCCCTTACCAATTTCAAGGACTTTCCCTACCAATAAATACGAGGACCTCTCGACCGAGAGAAACCAGTTAGCAAGTTTTCCTCCGACTCTCAACGTGTCCATATTTCTGTATCATCCGTCACTCGTTTACCTTTACCTTCTACACACTGTAACTCATCGCCTTTTGTTACAAGTTATATTAAAGTTCTCGTTATATAAAAACCAAAAAAACTCTCGGATTATTTTATATAAACCGTCGCAGTAACCCCTGCGACAAAGTATCAAAAGAAATCACAGTTTTTCCTCATTCTTCCATAATAATCTGGGTTAAAATACTTGAGTTATTTGAAAGTGAGAGGAACTGAATTCCAGAGCCTAGGAATTCACGAAATCGTAAATCCTCCTTTTAAAGCAGCCTGTGGTGCAGCAAATTTACTGTACTCGGTCAACAGAATATGCTTTAATTGCACTGTATAACCGCAGAATAAATATTATGTTAATCCATTAATTCTTTTTTACAACGATAAAACTGTAGAATGTAATTAATTTATCCAATAATCTGCAGCTTATCCTGTGACAATAAAAACTACATTCTTTCGTATTTTTATCGAGTATTCACTCAACAAAAATAGAAATGAAGTTAATAACTCTGACGTATGCTTATGATTTACTAGGATAAGTTTCGAATTTGATAAATTACTATCTTGCCTGTAAGTATAATTTTTATTAGAATTGAATTGGTGTAAAAAATTTCTATTGTTAAAGTGAAAATTTTGTATAGAAAATTGCTATTCTTATATTAAAACTAAATTATTATACAGAGAATTGCTATTTTAATTGAAAGTAGAATTTCGTATGGAAAATTACTGCAGGAAATGCCAGAATGAGTTTGAAAATTGTGTAGGAATTGTGATCGAGAAAGTGCAGGAACGTACTTTCGTGATCGAGGTAAAAATGCGGATTTAAAATAGAAGAATGAATCATTGATCTACGTTGCTTTTCGAAGGGGTTCTGCTGTACTTCTACACCTACACCCGATCCTGATTGTTTAGCCGTGCTAAACGCGATCATGCTTTCTTGCATAACTTTTACCTTCTAATCGGTTCGACCTGACAAAACCGGTAATACCACACCCAATGATCGAGAGTATATCCGTCTGCAAGTCTCGCGGGCCCTAGATACGTTCTCCATATGGTTCACGGCCTTGTGTACCGTTACCGTGACGAGTTTGCTTTGAATGAATCCATCTTTACTCTCATTTATAGGTCATCGACTCATCCGCGATGCTCATAATCCATTCATGAGAACATCGTTACCAAATCTTCGATTTTTGAAAGAATTTCAAAGAAATTAAAATTTACTGAACATATTCTATGGAATATCTCGGTTACACGTACTTCATAAACATTATTAACTGTTGAGACTTAATTAGACTTAAAAAGTATGATATAATGAAACGTAACAATAACTTTTGATGTTAAATCTAATGATTTTAACAGAGAGTCTTAAGTGAACGATCAGAATTTTTTGACCGAATCAACGGCACAATACGAGAAACTATTTTACCTCTATTTTCGTTTTTATAAATTAGAACCGTCGAGGTATGAACATATTTTGCGAAAATGCTGGCAGCGGAGGTGCCTAGTGAAAGTTAGTTTGGCAGAGATTCCTGCAGTTCTGGATCGCGATGCATTCGGTAGTTTTCACTTCACGGTTTAAAACGGATTCTTTTTGCGAACTTAAGGAAATCGTTGCTTCGGGTATATGATTTTTACAAAATTATTTATAGATACGTGCATGCCTGACTTCGGTAATTGAAAAAAAATCATTGCAAATATTATTTTTTATTAGGAAATAGTATGAAACATTATTTTAAAACATAAACTGAAGGTGATTTATAAAATTAAATAATATATACAATTAAAATTATAAAGATATTACAAAAGAATATGCATAGATATACAAATATTTATTTACGAAAGACTAACGATCGCTGTAAATTCACTCCTCACTTTAACTTAATTTTTGTTGTGTATATAAAATTGTTATATATTTATTTCTATTGAAGGTCATACGAAGGTCATGTTGTATACCATTGAATTCTCGACTTTAGGTGATGGTAATCAAAAAATCTTGGAATCTAGATAAATGTGTGTGACCTCGATAAAATGTACTCATCACATCACAATCTTTGCCTCTTTAAACTATATTAGTCTATATTGTCAGAACAAAAGCAAGATAATTAACCTTCTGCCAACATTATGGTTTTACACTAATGCAGCAAACGGATCTTTTGATTTTAAACCTTAATTTTGTTTGTAAAAATATTGTTTAAAGAATGTAGAAACCTTTAATGAGTTTTTCAATTTATTATACATATACTAGTTAAACAAAGAAATTGTCACTTAGCCCTAAATGTCCTATGATGCCGGCGAAGTGTCAAATTTCTCCAGTGAGGTCATCTAACAGCTCACCCAAAAAATCAACAGAACCGCAATCTAGTAATAAGATCCAGTCAACAAACACTCGTTGCCGTTTTCTGCCACACTGACACGGTCTATATTTCTAGCTGCCACCGGAGTACTTGTCATACTTGGAACAATACGCGCAGGAGCAACCGCAGCCGCAACCGGCGCCGCCTCAGCGCAGACCGCAGCCCGCGTACGCAAGACAACAGCAAGCTCTGCAGCAAGCTTACTACAACTTCCGGAAACCGACGGTCGTTCCCCCGCGACCTCGTCCACAGCTGCATCCCCAAGCTTTAGCTCAAGCGGAGGTAGCCGCGGAAATTCAGGCTCAAGTTGATGCTCAAAACCGTGCGGAGGCAATCCGCACAGCTCGTTTAGGCTCTGCCAGTCCATCCGCCGAGAACACCTACCAGGTGCCAGCTTACAGTCAGCCTAAGCTGGGAACGTTCGAGCAGGAACTGTTGCAGCTGGTCTCAGCGAACCAAGCCCAGGAGTTCAAGCTTTTGCCGACTCAGCCGAAAGGCGGTGATTCGGCGTACTCTCAGCAGTTGGTGGGCTACCCGGCGCAATATGCTAAGCCAGCTGCTGCAGCACCTCAATTGCCCGAGCAGTATCACATAGAGACGTCTCCGCCAAGGACCTATCAGCCACGGCCCCAGGTAGCTTATCAATCGGTGGAGGAGCAGTACCAAGCTCAGCCCGCGAAAGCTTTCCAACCCTCGCCGCAGTACGATTACGCGGCCGACGAAGCTCACTTGAAAGCCTTAGAACAGGCTCAGGCTCAAGCTCAAGCTCAAGCGCAAGCTCAGGCGCTGGCGTTCCAGAAGGTCGCGCAAGTCGAGTACCGGCAGCATGCGCAAAACGCTCTGGAGCACATAAGACTGAACAACGAGGAGGACAAACAGCGAACTGCTCTGGAGCAGATCCAGCAGGGCGCACAGGTCAGCGAGGCAGGCCGTAGTTATCTACAGGAGCAGCTACAGCCGAAGAGCGCGGACGCTGCGTACCGCGCGAAGGTCAAGGCACAAACCACTGCCGAAGTAGCGGAGGCGAGGAAAGTGCAACAGGCTCAAGAGTTCAAGGCTCACGCCGATGCCATTAAGAAACTGGAGGCGCAGCAGAGGGCTCATCTGAGGGTGCAAGAAGAAGTCCGCAATTACGCGTTGAACTTCGACAAGCTCCAGGCGCAGGCCCAGGAACTGGCCCAGGCGCAGGCTGAAGCTCTGTACAAGGCGCAGCTCCAGGAACGCCAGCAGATCAACAAGCAGATCATCGCTATTTCGAAGGACCAGGTGCAAGGCAAGAAGGTAGACCCGAACTCGCCGGTCTATCATTACACCTTGCAACCCAGCAGCACTCCCGTGCCTCCGCAGAACAGCTACTTCACCAACGACGAGCTGCAGAAGTACCAGGCCTCCGGATCCTCTTACGTACCTAGATCGGTCCCGAAACCCGATGGCCAGATCGTGGCCGCCCAGGTACAGCCTGCCATCACCCAGCCTCGCCAAGCCCACAAGCTCAAGCTTCCTCTCGCTCCCCAGTCCGTCTACGTGTCCGAGTCCGGGCTGCTGAAGAAATCACCTATCAAATCGATCACGATCGAGGAGGTGGACCCGGAAGTGAACAATCGCCAGATCTATCAGACCGCCACGCCCAAGGCGCGCACTCTGTCCGAGGAGGACTTGTCCGCTCTGATCAACGCCGGCTATACCGTCACCCCTGTCCCGCAAACCGCGAAGTCGGATCAGATATACGCGGTGGAGAACGCGGCCGCCGCCGGTTACTACACGAAGAAACAGAAGCTGCCGCCGGCCAGGGCCGAGTACGTCACCTACGAGGAAGTGATACAACGCCCCCGCAAGCTCATCAGAAAAAGCAGGCCTGTCCTGAAGCAGAACGACGGGGACACCGACGCCAGCGAGAAAGTCACTTACCTGCTACCTCTGGAGACCGCCTTCGGCACGAGACAACCGCCGCTCAAACAGGAAGAGTAAGTCGGTATAGATGTTCCGTTCGGAGGCGTGGTAACAAGTATTAATCATGCAACATTTAACCCGGAATATAGGTCTCGCATTTCGTCCCCTTACACACGTGTCCTTTTGATCATTGGCGTGCAAATTGTTAGGTCCGTGCTGCGACCTTTCGAAAGGGATTTCTATTCTTCTTTTTCTGATGTTGATACTATCGTAGTCCTCGACGATGGAATTGGTCGCGGTGTTAGCTGTACGACGAGGCACTAATCAAAATGAATTTAACCTGTTCAAGGATACTAGCACAGTCGTGTATGGCTAATTTTCGTTTCATCTGGGAATAGCAGTTTTCATTTGGAGAAATCGAAAATTTATGTCTTCGTATATCTGGATGTTTCATCGTACGAAGGTATACGTACTGTTAAACATTTTTAAACAGTCGTCTCTGTCGAGTTGTAAAAGACTTAATAAGCTATGGATCTCCGTGTGTTTGTGACGCGATGTTTGAAACAACGAGAATAATTAGTATCTTTATTTTATTTTAACCACAGGAAGTCTTCAGGTAGGTGGAAGAAAATTATTTGACTTTCCTAAAGAGACGTTTCTAAACAGTTTCATGATTCTGTAAAGAAAATCGATTTTATTCGCCGAAAAAAAAAATTCCTCCCTTTAACGATCTAAAGAATTGAAGAATGTACTACACGTTTACCTGTAATTTGGATGTCCCTTCGAATTACAGATTAGTCCTGGCGACGGAAGGACGAGAGCAATGTTTGAACTAATTTTGTACATTTATGCTGAACTCAAATTGTCAGAATACGATGGAATAAAAAGCTTAATGAAGGTTCTCATTAACGTTTCTATCTCATTTTGAACTAACTAGAAATTTTACCTTTTTATAGGAATGCTTCTTACTCTCTCTCTCTCTCTCTTTCTCTTTCTCTCACTCTTTATCTTCAAGACCAGATGGATTTTGCTCGTCTGCTTTTAGTTTAATTATTCGTGTATTTATTCTCATAGTATCTTTCTATATATTTTCTATACGTTTCAATTCAGAGAATTAATTGAATTTATATCGTACGTTAATGTAATAAATGCCTTATCTGCACATGGCATCATGTCGAAGCTTGAGGAGAAAGGATTTTCGAATCTTTGTTTATTAAACTTTTCTTAAACGAAGATTACTTGTGAAGAACGTTTTTATTTATTGTATTTTTTGTTGCAGTTCGGAACTAATAATTTGCAACGCCTCTGTATTCTGAATCGCCTGTTTTAGCAACATTAACCTGTTGAGTAATGACGAACAGACCGCGGTTTTTATGCATTTATGTCAAAAATGAATGTATGAAACATGAAACAGGGAACATTTCAGAAGAACTTGAGGCTATTATTATCATATTTAAAAAATGATGTAACTCTCCTGATAAATATCAACACACTTAGTAAATTGGATTTTGCCCCTGTGTTAGACAAAATGGTTTTTATCCGCATTCAGTTGCACTGGAGCGTTTAGGAAAGCACAGTCACACTGTCGACAGGTTAATTTTGCGTCACTACCATTTAAAAAGAAACGTAAAGAAAGGCAACAATTCATAAAGTCACGAATTATATAATTGTCGATTGTTATATTGTCATTGTTTAATTTCTCACACGTTTAACTTCTTTCGATTTACCACACTTCCATTTATTCAAGTAGCGTGCCCACTGGAACGTTAACAAAAAAGAAACGGGAATAAAGGTATTCGTTGATAAAGTGTTCACATGTTACCCTGTGCAGTAAATAACTATTAATTATAGCGTAGCAATGATTTACTTCCTAGTTTCGATGCGGACGTTTCCTTCCGTATTCCTCAACCTATATTTTTCGTTAAACGTTCATGTTGTTTATCGCTTCGAGCTACGATTCAAATAACTCAAGCATATTGATTGACAAACGGACAATTGATAACGAAAAGCTCTTATTCTAATAACTTATTTATACTTGCAACACTTGCAAATTCGAATACTGTTGATGACAACGAATTTCGTCGCTTGAATCATCCTTGATGCGTAGACGATGTCAATCAAGATGAGTGATCGAATTAAGTCGCCGCTCTTTAGGCGTGAGTATAGATTGTGGAACAATTTTCTAGCGTAAACGAGTGCTACGGTACACCTTTTACGCGACATTAATTGTAGATGGTATGTGCGACGGTGCTAAGTCGAATAATTATTAATTTATACCTACTATTTGTATATACTAGATTTTTACTTAATAAAACAGTTCAAAAGTCCTGCTTCGTGATATCTATGAAATTCATCTCTTTCCCTGGAATGCTCGTTGTACGAAGAATCCTATTTTTAATCAAAATAAAAATTTACTAATCTGTAATTTACAAATCTAATTACTGTTCTAATAAAAAATCAAATGCACTTCTTCGATTAAGAGTATCAAGCACTGTATACAAAATAGCATCTAGTTGCTTAAGAAAAACTGTTGACAACATCTACGAATTTTATTGATGAAATAAAACAATGTATCTTCTTAAAGAATTGTTTATGAAAACACCTTCATGTTTGTGAAATTATTACAAAGGCAGTTACAAATTTCTTGGACGAATCTATTCAAGATTAAATTTCAAGGTAGGTAGGCTGAGCTATAATCACAACTAAAAATTTAAGTAATAATATTCTTCATAGAGGAAGGAAATATAAATAATTTTGTTTATAATTAATGGTAAAAAGAAATGGTAAACGTTTCACGCTAGCGTTACGCTTCGAAAACACGCACGTTTCTCTGACTTGGATTGTGGCTGATTAATATGTCTGTTTATCACTTACTGTCTCTGCGTCCAATGAACCCAGATGGCGGTGTGTCATTGTCTGCTTTCACTGACTATGCCATTTCCTGAATGCTGGTACAATACACGCGTGCTTTAAATGATTATGAAAAGCGGAAAACAACGTTTTATCAGAAAAAGAATACACGGAAACGTTTGTGTACAGATGAATAAAAATCAAAACGTTCTAATTTACAATTCTTCGATATTAATTTATCAATAATTACGATGCAAGTATCCGTCGATAGAAAAAACTGTAAAACAATAATCCTGTTGTACGATTTTCATTACTGTCAATTAAATCATATTATAACTAGTACTGTTTAATTATTTCATATCCCATCAAAACCGATGCATTCTTACTTCCAAAAATTTAGCGCTTCATTTTATTAGTCACTACATATTTAATTCTTCACGTAACAAATGGCAAAATCATTTCTGCCAATGATTACAAAAATCATTTTTCAGTATTGCCTATCAAATTTTATTGAATGCCAGTTTGGGACAAATTAAAAACACGAGTAATTTTTTTTATTAAATTGGTGAATTAAATCACATTTGTTTGAACTTCTTGCTTATACCAGCGTCAAAATTACCGGCGTGTTTCGATCGTTGAACTACGCCCGCGGCGGAAACCATTCTAAAGCCTTTATCGCCGCGTTTTCGCCTGACAATGCGTTAACATTGGCATTCACGCAAAAAAAAGAAAGGAAAAAACCCCGGCCAACAACAGATTCTTGGGGTTATGTAAGAAAATGTTCCACGATGCAATTAAACCCCGTACACATCAAATCGGAATAGTCCTTGCTCGACTTGTATCCCGGTACAACTTTCTCTCTCACGCTGTGACATAATCTTTTGAACAGTTTAGTTGGAGAGTTGGAACCCGGCTGCGCATTGAAAACTGGTCTAGTTTCGTTTATTATTACCTACGGTGCAGACATGTCGAGGAACTGTTGCAACTTTGCTGTGCCGCTGATGGCCATCTTCTTGGTGATAGCCTGCACTACGCCTCTTCAGGTAACGAGCCTATCATTTCAGTTTGTTAACATAGCTCCACGTAACGTGGTCGTGGCATTAAATCTAATTAGTATCGTATCGTAACATTATAATGTCAAGCTTTCAAGTCATCATTCACCGCTTCAACTGAATTCATTTGAGTTAAGCAAGTCGATCGAAATTTGTTGCTTTTTGATTCATCGTTTTAGTATTTTAACATAGAAATTTGTAATTATTCAACAGTTTCTCTGTGTCATTGAACTTGTTGATATGTCTCTTTATCAATTATTTTTGTACGAATGTTATTGGAATAGCAAAAGATGTTGTGATTTCAAAATATTCGAATGACGTGATGTAATGTACTTTGTAATATTACGCTCTAAGAATTACTAATTTTATGGGAATTATATTGTAGTTGGAATTGGAATGATGGAATCGAAATTTTAACTTTTAAGCGTAATATTCTTGATGGAATTGGTTTTTAAACATTTGCATCGAGCATAGATTTGTTACAATGTTCAGTATCGTTGAATTGATATTAATCTATCGAACAGAGATTATGTACGGTGTTTTTCCATGTGATCTACACGAAAGAATTTTGTATCGTACATTCACTTCCCTTCTATTCCTTAACTTAGATGTAACATTGCCGTTAAACGAAGGCGATATTAAAATATGCGAAATATCTGATCTCAGTATAATGTATGTAAGTGTTACGATATCCCTAAGCATTATAAGTCGACTTCTTAGACTTTTTGATCACTTCATACATCAGGGTGCCTGCTATTCACTCTACGCTATTTTTCCACGACAAAATAATCTGAATACTATTTGAAGAATAATAAAAGAAAATAATATTATTTTATTATTATTCTTTAACTTTCATTCATTCTTTTATTTTCATACACATTATTCTGATAGTCATAGCAAACAAATGCAACAAATAACCACGGTAATAATAAAAATTCGTTAAACATTTCTTTTAGAACAACCGCGATTTTGTTTCTTTCAGTATCCAATAGTGGTTGACGATTACGGTTACAACGACTATCAAAATTACGAGCAACCACGCGCAAAACAGAATCGACAATACTCAAAACAGGATCAATTAAATTACGAACAACCACGCGTAAAACAGAATCGACAATACGCGAAGCAGGATGAATCGTACGCAAACTACGAGCAACCATACACAAAACAGGATCAACAATACACGAAGCAGGATGAATCGTACGCAAATTACGAGCAACCATACACAAAACAGTATCAACAATACCCGAAACAGGACCAATCGTACGCAAATTATGACCAGTCATACATAAAACAGGATCAATCGTACGCAAATTACGAGCAACCATACGAAAAACAGGATCAGCAATATGCAAAACAGAATCAACAATACGGAAATCAGGATCAAACGTACGCAAATTACGAGCAACCATACGAAAAACAGGATCAACAATACGCAAAACAGAATCAACAATACGCAAAACAGAATCAACAATACGGAAATCAGGATCAATCGAATGCAAATTACGAGCAACTATACACAAAACAGGATCAACGATATACAAAATACGAGCCGGTATACTCGAAATTCGATCGACCGATTGTTGTAAAGCCTCAGAAACCGAAAGACGGCTCAGACTTCAGCAAAATTCCTGGCACTCCTGGTGTGGACTATCCTGTGTATCACACTATACCGCGGACGAGTTTTTCCTGTGCCTACGTTCCATTCGCGCCAGGAATGTACGCGAACGTGGAAACCGGTTGCCAGGTAATCTGCTTCGTTCTGATTAGTTTTATTAAATATTTATGTAAATTGTATCGAGGATTAAAGAGAAGATTATCCTCATTGGAAAACTTACATCGTGTCACTCAATTTCTGATTTTCTCTTCGAAGTGAATACTGTTCTTTAGACAAAGTTGAAGAATCGTCGGTCATTAATTAAATTTTAATGACTTCTTTCCGATATAATATAACTGAGATCTTAATTGATCACGTTGACAGAGCAACATTTATGAAAACGAATAGAAGAGCGTGTGTAGATTTAATTTTGTTAATTTTGTAGATTTAATTTTAGGTTGACAATTTGAGATGTTTATTTTTGCGAATGCTATCGATAGAATGCAAAATGCAAATACAACTTTTGAAGAATTGTTCGTACAAATTAGAAACAGGGAAAAATTGTTTCTTTATATTCGGATTTCTATTGTGATCTAAAAAAGGTAGAAAATTTAATTAAAATGTTTAAAGATCTAATAATGCATTTTAGGGGAGTAGAAATATAGTTAGTACATGTTTGCAGTTTAACCATCACTATTGCCTACAGCGAATAAAGAAAGTTTCCAGTCGATAATGTAGTCATACGTTTCCATGGATAAAGCTATTTCCTACAGTTCAACAAATGCATTTGCAACAATTGAACAATTTCATAAAGAACATACGATTGTAGTTTTTAGTATTGCAGAATTTTAATTTCAATTAATTATTTGTTGCCATACATGAATTTATTTATATATTATTGTTTATTTCGTAGGTCTACCATATTTGTCACGATGGCCGCGAAGGTCATCAAGGTGCATCCTTCTTGTGTCCAAATGGCACTATTTTCAGTCAACGAGAATTCTCTTGTGATTGGTGGCACAACGTGAAGTGTGCTGAGGCTATAGCTTTGTACAGGTATAGTATTATCTCTTAGATATACTATTATTTTAGTAATTATTACTATTATTTATTAAATTACTATTATTATTTACTATTATTATTAAATTACTATTATTATTACTATAATTATTTAAAAAACTACTATTATTTATTAAAAATTGCTTACCTCCGGATGGAAGACTTTATGAAAAAAATTGTACATAAATTGTCCTTAATTAATTTCAGTTTAAATTTGGATCCAGAAAAGAATCCTTATCTGCCAAAGAAAAAGAAGGAAGAGCCGCAGAAAAACATGAGGATCGTGGTGCTGTAAATTCCTTTACTTCCAGAATGCGAGATCTACTATCAATGCGAACTATTGAATTGTTGACGCAAATGGTGTTTTAAAAATATAAGACCACCTGGAACATGCATATTCTTCACAGGAATGAAAATTGAAAAGTTTCGTTAAAGAACTTTTCAGACACGATATGGTGCCATATTTTTGGAACACTAAATATAAACAGTAGTTCAAATGCATTTATTGTACATTCATTGATGTCGATCTTAGATCTGTCAAGGGATATCGAAACTTTTAGTATAAGAAAGGACTGTTGAGTATTTGTCGAAAAGCTCACAATAAAGTTTTTATACATTCCGCGCGGCCTAGTTGAGAATGCATTTCATCTGACACTTTATTTATTAATATTATAAAATATGTGCTAAGTATTATGTGCGCATTTATTATGACCAAACTTACTAATACATGTGAAGGGAACTATATGTAAGTGTTAACTTGTGTATATAAATATTTTTATGCATAGATAATATTATACGGTTGTTACGAAAATTTTTCATAAAATTCTATGAGCATCATGACGCATAGTAGGAACTTTTTTCCTACGGGAGGGGGGCTTTAAAGGTATATAAATTTATTAAAATACTTAATTCTAATTCTATTGATTAAAAAAATACACATTAACAGTGAAACGACAATTAATAAGTTATGCTGCGTATGTAGTACGTGCATATTTTATAAATAAAATATAACAGAATGTTTTAATACATTTTTTTAAACACACTCTATTTCCCACGAATTAGAAATATCATGTAGTGTTATACTCTTGCAAATATATGTGACTGTAACAATTTTCTGTCTCAACGTTTCCAATTAATTTGTAATGAGATATTAAGATTATATAACGTATTATTCTAATATGGTAGTATGACACCAGTGAACGTCAAAATAATGGCAAGAGGTCTATTATAATTGTTCTGTCATATATTAATTTAAACAATCTACACGTCTGTCTCATATTGATATGTTAAATGCTTTAGCTTCTCGGTGAGTTAGTTAATCATTTAAGTTAAAGCGATCATATATATATATATATATATATATATATATATATATATAT